ATGATGTGTTATTATTCAGGATGATTTAGTGTGGGATGGCCAAATTCACTCTATTGTTTCCAAATGTAATACAAGAATATTTTTTTAAATACAATTAGGAAGAAGTAGTAGTCTTGATACCCGGATCTATTGTTATAATATTGTTAATAATGGTCTAATTAAAAAATTGTTTTTCTTTATTTTTTCTCTCTTTCTCTTTCTATATATATTTAATATTTTCTGTAGCCTTAGAGTGGTATTAAACCTAGCATGTGACGATTTATTTAAAAAATTATGATGGGAGTGTTGTTGCCGTCGTTGTTGTTGCTGCTGATAATGGCAATCATAGTGTCTTTTTGTAGTTATTCTGTTTGATGAGTTGTTCTGGTTCTAGAGGATGCCGACCTCCTAAGGACTTCAACAAAGTTGGAGTATAACAGGAGGGGTAGAAATAAAGTGGAATGATAGGAAGACCCATCACCATAGTATACGACGCACAGCGTCAGTTTAGGCTTGCCATACCGCCTCTCAAGCCCCAAGGACCTGACAAGTAGGAAACTTGCAATCACACGATCCAGTACCTACACGAGTATCGGCTTTCCGAAGAAAACCACATTTTGGTAGTGAAAATAAAAGTAAGCGAAAGTTACAACCCCAAGTGAGGAGGTGAGGAAATTAGAATGTTAGAATATTAAAACAATGGAAATTAAATCTGGACCAGCGCTTCAAATTATTTTCCACAACATATACGCGCAGTTTAATAGATCCATCATGGCACTATATTTATTTGTATTTAACTTCTTCATAAAGTACTGTCACTTAAATATCTTTAAAATTATAATATAATATAAGAATTTATAAAGCGTCAATTAAAGGTGGTTTTAAAGGTTTCTGAAACAGTTTTAATGAGAGCCAGAATTTTTCAATACTATTATTACAGGCCCTGAGCTCATGGTGTCCAAAATGCAGTAGTTAACAATGGGTCTTCGTTGATTAAACAAGATTATCATATGACTATGTGATGAATATGAAGATGATATGATGATGTCACTGATGAATGAACATGATGATGATTACAGTGGTGATGATGATCATGATATTGATAAGTGGTGTCGATAATGATGGGGCCTACCACAGTAACTACACAGAAATGTACCTTTTATGTTTTATGCAAATGAATCCTGCTTTTAAGAAAGTATAATACATACTCCAAGTATTGAAATACACGCCATAGTGTATTAGTTTGCAAAGTTTGCAAAGGGCATAACTGCATGAAGAGAATGAATTCAGTTGCATTATCAGATTTTCAATATTTATTTACTTTACTCTCTGTATAGACGCTAATGTCAACATGATACAGACATTTGAGTTTTTTTTCTTTTCTATACATCAATTTAAATGATGTGAAGTTCTTTCATCATAAATTGTCTTGTGCAAGTTCCATGCCAAGTCGGACCCAGTCGTTATCATGAATCTGTCCACGTTCACATTTTAAATTGCACAAGTCCTGAAGTTCGACAGGGATGTCGCATGGTCGAAGCACCAACGGCACGATACATTTTCTATCTTTGTTACGGTGAACGTTTTCATGTACAGCTCGTTGGATTTCAAAATTGCACCATTTATCCTTTAGAGAATCAGGAGACAAAATAACGATGGTTTTATGACTTGTCTCGAGTGATTTGATAATGTTCTCCATAATTGAAATCCCCAGTCGATAATCTCTGTAGCGTAAACAGCCATTGAGGTTAAAATCCTTTTCAATTTTTTTAAGGAGAGCAACAGCCCACTTGTGATCTATATGGCAAAAACTGATAAAAAAATCATAACGAAATGGTTTCCTCGTGTGTTCTTGGGCCATGCACATTTTGGATTTACACGGAGTGTCATTTTCAAACAAGACATTAACAAATCCACCTCGTTCTTCTTTACAATACTCAAAACGACAGAGTTCGCATTGAGAGCCATCACAGTTTGTCCCATGTCTTCGTTTGCCGGTTGTAATCATACTTCGTATTTTCTCTTTCATTTCGGCAGCTATACTCCACTGCCTATTGGCACTTTCGTTTTCACCGCACTTTTCCAAACATCTTGCCCAACGTCGATGCGTCTCGGTAGTGTCAAAGTTATCGTTCTGCGTGTTCTTCTTGGCAAGATGAAATTGTTTCAGAGCTTTATGCCAGTGGTCTGGCCCTTTTAGAAAGTAAACGTAGCCTAGGTCTGATTGGTCAGCGTGGACGTTTTTCATTTTTATAGCTTGAAGAAAGCTGTCCTCGGCTTTCAGCAATATTTCTTGATCACGTTCACCGGCTTCATACCTCCTCAAGTACATTAAGCCTTGATGTCTATATGCAAACCAAGATTTTTCCTTGGCAAGCGATTTTTCAAAGAGTTCTTTGGCCCTTTCGTGACAACCAACCAGCGACAATTCGGATGCAACTCTCCTCATAACTATTTCATTATCAGGAGATAAATGAAGGCCCTTTTCAATACATTGAATACTGGTTAATTCGTGAATATCTGAATTACTTGGGA